AGATAGTCAGGAGCACATGCCACCCGAAATCGTTATTAACTGACTTTTAATTCCTTGTACTATGTTTCTTCAAACGGTAAAAGAGTGGTCTCGCCAAGGATTGATCCCACGACCTCTTGTCTGTGAGCAAAGACCACTGCCCGTGCGCTTTCTGTTCATAATTCGATTAAGGCACATGTCGTCTACTTGGACCCTCCTCTGTTTTTTTCACTGCTTATCCTTCTTTTTCAAACATCATTAGACCGAGTGCTTCGTCTCCAGTAAAACACATGAACCATCAATGGAATAATTTATTCGTTACGACCTGATATGAATGTGATAAGAATTGGCACTTTGTCAAAAGAACATTAAAGAAAGAGAGTTGTTAATGGGCTCCTAGCTTCTGGAAAATACAACACAGATCGAATTGTTCAATAGCTATACGGGTAGATGAACTCCCTAGGACCATTCATCACTCGTATATCTCTTTCCCATGAATGCTATTCACTATTGTAAAAGGGCATTTCCAATTGTCTCGGAGCCCTCACCCTAGCGACAGCGACTTAGCAATACCCACGCAAAAATGATCTTCGCTGGGTCACTGCGCGACGACTCGCAAACTTGTGCTGTACCGCGCGGCATACTTTCGCAGCATTTGATCCGGGCAGGCTCCTGTTCACGTTTCTGTGCCACAATCCACCCGCACGTTATCTCGGTTACCTTCGTCTCCAACAGCTCCCGCCTTGAACAACGGCTAGAATAATTTGCGGTGCTATTTCTGGGCGCGCTGAACTAGGAGTGTCACTGCGCTGTGACCCAACGACGCATCGTCTCTGCCTGTGAGGGAGTTCTCAGTAAATCGCACTGGGATGACCTACATTCAAAATTGTACGTTCAAAAATAGAATACAAAGTGAGCTCCAGAAAACGCATGAAAACCGGGTAGAAAAATGTTCGAATGGTTCTCAAATGATCAGAAAGCACCACAGAAAATTTAAATTAGCTGTTTTTCAATAAATACTGCGCTATATCATAAAAATACCCTAGAACTGCATTTCAGCAACAGCAGACGTTTGCTGACGGCTGAGATCTCGACAAAAGAAGTGGTTCTCCGGATGAAGTGAAGTTCCCACTTGTTTAACTGCATGATTCTCATTGGACAACTCGAACGCCGAACGACATTGTACACTGAGAGAAGTTTGGCGAGGAAATAGACAGTAATCACTTGAATCACCAGTTGAACAAAGGCAAACATTGCATAGCTGACAAGCAGGTACTGCAGGAGAACGAGAAAATCCACGGGCAGTGAGGCGATATCCTGAAATTCAATGGAAAAGCTGGAAGTGCAACTGGTAAAGTGGAAGTAGCGTTCAGCAAAATCATAAGCCAGATCAGGGAAAATATTGATGACTCTCAGAAATACCCAGCAGCGAGATCTGCTAAAAATTCGGATGGATAATATCTCTTTTTTGTTGTCTCAATGGCACAAAATGGTGGAGGTGGAGGTAGTGCAGCGGCAAATGTTCGGTTGTATAGTCGCGGTTCGAACCTGCCCATTCCAACTTTTGTATATTTTCCTTACGGAATCGGATTATTGGGCGAACTTGAATGGGAGGAAAAGGAAGCTAAATGTTGCACTGGCTGACCCAGGTCATTGTGCGATCCAAGTACCGTTTCAGTGCGAACACTATTCCGGTGAGCCCTAAAGTGCATGGCACATTCCAAAAGAAGCTGGCTGAATGGCTACGCTGCATGGGAATCCATTTCAAAAAAGACTTTCTGAACACACCAGCAAGGAGGCCAGCAAGTGGCAGTACTGACAAATTTTCTTGATTAAACGGAGACCTGGTAGAGTTTTGGGGGCATGACCCAACATTGCTTGGGGACAAGTCTTTTTTGAGAATAATTAATCCAAAAATTATAAGGCAGCAGGTAGCTGGGAATTCGGACGCGAAGGGATAGTAGCAACGCTTAGATGGGGAAGCGATCATTTTTTAATGTTTTGCTTACGGTTTTTAGCCTCTGATAGAGGAGGAAAGACCGGAAAGTTAGTTGGATGAGTTATTACAAGTTATTCCTATAGCGGAGCTTGAATGAGTAAAACAGGCATGACCACGATTCGCCATGAAGGAAGAATTCATCATTTGGATGTCGGGTTTGATGTAAATAGAATGTGAGTCCGTGACAGAGAATTTCTTGGAATACATAGTTTTCTGGAATTAAACATACTCTCAACCTTGTTTTCAATTGTGAGATTGTTTCTTATCGAAACTAGCGCGATTTCTTCATACTTTTAGCTCTATCCGAGAGCTGCGATTAGTGATTGATCGATTATCGATTAGTGATTATTGCGATTAATTTCTGCTGACGGTACCTCTAGGGGGCTCTGCAAACCCCGAACATATCCCATTCATTTGGGAAGAACTAGCAGTTTGTTTTTGCGAGCACATTCCTCAAAATATTTTGCGGGCATCTCAAAATCTCTCAAAATTTTCACAAATTAGGTGGACAGCCGCGTGCTAATTGACCGTGGCTGAGATGAATCGCCGAGAACAAGCGACCGAGGAGGGACCGCCTCTCGACACAGTCCGCCCACAAATTTTACCGGGTGCGGGGATTGGGGACGAGGCATTGCACGTAATTACTCTATTGAAGGATAATTTAAACGGTCGACGATTCTCTGAGAGGACAAGCGATCCACTTTCTGGACAATTTCTGAGAGGAGACGCATTTCACATTGAAGAGAAGACTAACCTGAATACCGAGCGGCCATCGGGGACCCGTTCGATGAAAGCATACGAAGCAGTTTATGGTGAGTGATAGATCGAATCATACCCATACTCATGTCGAGGGACATCGGAAATCAAAGCTTTCATTCCTTGACTTCATCTTTTAATTTCAAGCAATGGACTCACCTGCTTCATGAGGTTCCTATCAGCCGCCCGCGATACCTCGACAGCTTCAACAGCAGCTAAACTCAAAAATATATTCCTCATTCTTATGCAAGAAATAAACCATTGGTGAAGCGCGATGGTGAAAGTCCTCTCCGTTGGAGGTATGGCGCCACATCAAGCCCGAAACCGATTACGTTAGGCCCTGTTTTCGGACACATTCGGTTCCGGATGAAACCGACTACGAAAGTGCCCTCGTCCGCACTTTTGGGTTGGGTTTAGAAGAGAGCAGGATAAGAAGCCCGGAAAGCTTGGTTTGCAATGCATTCGACAGCAATCAAATTCAGTTCCAAGAAGTTCTAGAGACCGGAAAACTAGTGGATAAAGTCCGACAACGGAAGGGGTTCAACAGCTATAGATGGGTGTGGCGTGCACCAATGTGGGCGGAGTCTGCCCAAAACTTATATTTCAGTTCCACAAAGTCCGTGGGGCAGAGAAAAAGGGGGTAGAGGTCGGTTAAGTAAAGGAGACCACCTGCTATTGGTGGGTAAAGGATAATGTGCTCGATTAGCGAATACCTTCAGAGATGCGCCCTGCATTCTACTTCATTGCAGAGCCTGGTATCTCAGGCATAGTGACATTGCCTTACAACTGCGTGCGGCGCCAAATGAATGATGGATCCATTGCTTTAGATCAATCTATGTAAGTTGTTAACAACCTATACGTAAAAAGGTATGCTAGGCCTGCCAGAGGTGTGATCGTTGGCCCACATGTGGAGCCACCCTCCTTCCGCCCCACATTTATCGAGCCACCAGAGCCTAGTTAGAAGTGATAAAGATAATTTAAAGGACGAATTCACGATGAAAAAGCAACCCATTTCAAATTAACCTAGGGATGGTGAGTGGTACACGAAAGAAGGAAGAACCATGAGAAACGGCCCAGAACCCGAGAAATGGTACCCCTTCCTTGCCCGTTGATTCGAGCATTGATGCGACTCTCATCGCTGTGCCCTCTTCAACACTACGCTCTCTAATCACTCGCCACGTATTGAACTACGGCGAGTGATCAGATGATCGGTGGGCGGAGATCGCCGGACCCGCCAGCTTTGAGGCATGATAGGTCGCCGAGGTCAAATTTTTCCATGCGAATTGCGCGTCAGTTCGCACCCTCAGGAGGTCCGTGGGTCCCTCAACTAGGTCAGTTTCCCTTTCTTCGACCTTCATTCTAATTCATTCCTCCGCTTTGACATTATTCAACGTCGATCCAGGCCGATTGAATTTCAAGTCAACGTTCTCATCTGAACACTCAGAGGTTACTAGCCTGTATTGATGAGAAGGAACACATGGCGCTCATCCAGTAAGGGGGCATCAAGTGGCTGCCCTCACCCCCCTGGACCCCCCCCCCTCTTACGGATGAGCCGCGAACACATTGTTGGAACAGAAACAGCAAGAGTGCAGATCCATGGATTTTGTCTGCTTCATGACTTTTCGCCCATCGCGTCATTACTGACCCTCTGCAAAAAAAAGTTTCGGAAGAGAGAAATTTCGGAACCTACTAGTTATGAAAGCAGCCTGCTTTGGAAAGACGAAATTCGGTACAATAGCAGCAATCAGGAGAATGGCCACCGATTTGGAGATGACGCTTGACGGAGACAATGCACTGGTGAGCGATAAAAACCCGAGAATGAGCGAGAATAGTGGAAAGGACAGTTGACAAATCTGTAGACGAAAAAACGGATTAAATCAATTGGAGAGCTGAGAAATCACAGCTGACCATGAGGCGAATCAAACTAGAAATCGTACCATTTCTATTATGGTACCAGCTGACTGCACAAAAGTCCAGAGCAGCACTATTCTGGACACATCTGACACCAATAAAACTCCAGCGATAAAAATCTGAAGAGAAATGGTTAGAAGCCATGGAAGGTTTTTAGTTAAAAACTCTTGACGGACCTGGATATATGCCATGACCCTAATAAAGTAGATCGCGTGCTGATACGTCTGTACCCGTCGGTCGTAGTCTCTGGACTGTGCTTTGAAATCGCGATAGTAATCGGAGTAGTCATCGTCGTACTGTCGACGTGATATCATGTAAGGACTTCTGAAAATGATACTTCATTAAATTCAGGATTGCCAAGCTTTGAATTCCGTCTATCACATTGATCACCGCGTGCGCCACCATGTGGCGCACAATTTCACACATAGGAGCATAGTTTCAATAGATTTTTTTAGCGTTTTTTCAGTGTTTATGAACTGTTTGCACTCATTTTTAGAATCGCAATACAATACGTGTAATCACTGATAAATGTATTGCCGATAGACTAATGACGACTCAATCAACAAAAAAGAACATGAAAAAAAAAGACACGGAGAGCCTCATACAACGGGCGGTCCGCAATGTGTAACCCATAACGGACGGCCAGTGTATTTTCGCGTGCGCCACCATGTGGCGCACGCCGCCACCCAGGGTAGGGTTTATGTAGGCTTATGCGAACAGCAGGGTTAAGACGGGGCTAAAGTAGGTGTCCGTGTCTCATCATCCAAAAGAAGAGATTTCCGTTGACGACAAGTTCGTAACCCGCCTTTCCGCTCTAAAACTAGGGTGCAAAAAATGAATGGAAGCCGTTTTGAACACTCAGTTCCTATAAGTTATCGTCCCCCTTTGCCATCTGCTGCACCTCTCAGCTGTCCTCTTTCAATAACTAAGGGCGATAAAATTTTCGTACAATCTCTCTTTGGACGAAATTATCCCAGACGGACAACCAAAGAGTCTTAGCAAACATACAGGGTGGCTACTAAATATTGGCGCATGGTTAATTGACCATATTTCCAAAAAGAGAAGCTATTACATCTTCAGAGGTTTATCTTTATATACAGTAAACATAACAATTCATTACTAAGAAGATGCTCGGAAAGAAGTCCTTCCGGCGGCGATACAGGCTTCAAGTCTCTTCTCAACTGACATCACCGTGGGCCGCAAGCAGTTTTCGTCGAGTTACTTCAACGCTTCCTCCTAGGAAGCCTTCAGGAAGTCCAAACTTCGATGTTGCCTAGTGTTCATCTCCTGTTGCAGAAAGCCCCAC